ATTTAAGGAATTTTTAATTCATTTCCCTGTTTTGACAAAACTGTGATAACCAAGTTTTTATTAGTGAATGAAGTGATGAGAGATGACTATGGATATTTGTCTTCTAAAAATTTATATACCTGATGCGATGGTAGCCGCATGGAGCTTTACAAAATATTCTGTCCTTAATATTAATTTTAGTATTAAGAAAATCTAAATAATTTTTACCTTCATAAATCTATTGAATTTTTTCCTTTTTGTGAATTTGATTTAGATTACATAAATGGATTCCATTTTTATTAAAATTGCAGAAATAAAGTTTGCATGTGGTGATTCTCAATGATATTTTTAGTTACATAAACAAAGTACAATTGTTTTAAAAAATATTGAAGCTATGCATTTTACCGCCTGTGAAAACATTATACTATGAAAAATTTAATGCAAGTCATACTACCTACTCATGTTTATTAATTTTACTTATATTTATTTTAAGAGCAAACTATTATTTTCGGCAAGTTAAACTTCGCGATTACAGTGAAGAAAAAGATCGACTATTTTGATCACGTGACCTACCGAAACTGATTTCGCTTCAAGGCCATGACTGTCAGACATGTGAGATAAGTCACACACACCATTTAATGAAACTCTCGTATAATTCCTTAACCCTTTGCGGCGCACTATACGTTAAAGTCGGAATTTCAACAAAATAAGTTGTATGCAGTCTATTTAGTCCTAAAGGAGTACACAGGTACAATTTTGTAAAAACTGCACTTAACCGTTTTAATTCTGTGGGTGTTCCATGAGGTGGAACACTGCGCCGCCAGAGCTTTTAAAAGTGCAATTAAGCGAGCATTGCAGTGAAGCACGAAAATGAGTAGATACGTTTGTATAAGAATGGTGTGTGTGTGTATTTAATTATGGCAAAGCACACTAGGGCTATCTGCCTAAGGGGAGGGATGCCTTCGTGGAGGACTTTCTAAGGGAAACTGGCTCGTATACACGTTACACATGGGAAAAACCACGAAAACACCCATGCAGCCAGCCCGTTCGGGGGATTCGAACCTCGGACCGAACTACCAGCGTTCAGCGATTTTACCGCTCGGCCGTTGGTGGGCGTTTGTATAAGAATGAAAAAACTCTGTAATTTGGCTGTATACATGGTTTCCTGGATATACACAATATTCTTGAATATATACGGAAAAATGAGATAAATATCTATATACACAAGTCCTATATACAAAAATATTTACAAATTTTCGGAAAGAGTTAGACCTCTCCGCGCTATTTATGGAAAATTAATAATAAAAAAATTAACTACGATTAATATATTAACAATAAAGGAAAAATAAGCCTATAATATATACATACACGAAAAATATCTACACAGTTATTGAAAATAAACGGGAATGAGACTAAAATGCGACAGAAAAAAATTCACGCAGGTCTAAGTAAAGATGTGTGTGTGTGTATTTAATTATGGCAAAGCACACGAGGGCTATCTGCCTAAGGAAAGTGATGCCTTTCGGGACTTTCTAAGGGGAATGGCTCGTATATACGTTACATGGGGAAAACCACGAAAACGCCATGCAGCCAGCCCGTTCGCGGGATTCGAACTGGACGAACTACCAGTTGTTCAGCGAAAGATGAGTCAGCTACTAATAAAATTCCCGCCTAAGGAACTCCCAAAAAATTCGAGATGCCAATATTAGGGCTTTCATAACACAAAACAACCTCATCCCTCAATACTCTTGTTTGAATTCATTCCCCATAAAACAACGGAAACAAAAACGTAAAAACAGAGTTCTCTCTAAGCACAGTATCTGATTCGTAACAGCATGAGATCGCTAAAGGCGCAGTGTTCCCTCTAATGGAACACCTGGTTTATTCAAGATTCTGCGTATGGTTTTCCATGAAAGAAAAAAAAAATATAGAACAAATAATTTGAGAGTACAGACAGGAAATTATGCCTAATTTTTTCAATAAAATTTTTTATATCATTAAAAAAATAGAGCAAATTACTTAAAAAAAAGGGGATTTAATAAACATAATAAATGAAATTCTGTGTCTCTTGTGATATGTGTATCTATTTAACTTTCGCCACGAAGTCGCCCCGCCGTTCATTCAGGCAAGGCAAACCCCCCCAACGCCTCGTTTATTTTATGCCTAGTTTTCCCTCCAGTTAGTGTATGCTCTTGATTTCGCGAGTTGTTAAAAGACATGTCAATCATTCTTTTGAAGCATAAAAGGAAATACGGAAAGCTATTGACGTTCGCAGGTGCAATCCGGCCCTAAGGTGGAACTGCATACAATGGATGAAAACCGCAGGGGAAAGGAAAACTATTCCAAGACAAATTCACACGGGCGTTTTCGAGTTTGTTTGAAAAACAGATTGGTGTCTCTGATGCCGAAAGAGTAAAAAGAAAGTTCAAAGTATATTATAAAAGCATTTTTATCTATTTACGGTGGAATTTAAAGGTTTCAGAAGCGATTCAATTTGGGTGTTCCATGTAGAGGAACACTGAGCTACAAAGAGTTAACTGCATCTTATGTTGAGCAAAAGTTTTGAACAATTATAATGATTCGTTGTTACCGTCCAGAAAACTGCGCCATAAATTATTGATTCCTGCTTTACTCTTTCACTGTTATAACATATTTATTTTCCAAGCAATAAGCATTAACTTCCTGGATTTCTCCCAACCACTGCATAAAATTAATGTCAATTACTTTCGCTTCTAAAACTGTCCATAACATCCAAAACGTTTCCCACTTAATCGACCGAAATAGCATGCCTTTACGCACGGACCTTAAGAAAATTCGATCGCTCAAAATCGGTTATTACCCACGTGATCATAGTTAAAATCCTTAAAGATGGGAATATTTCCGGTAATTAATTTACCTGCACAGCGGAGAAGAGAGTTTGCAGAATATGTGATTTATTACATAGGTTCAAAAGCCTTCATTGTTAAAGCACGGCTGATAATGCTTTGATAGATTAAGGCTATAAAGTATCTATAGGCAAGTACAACGCTTGCAGAATTAACTCAACTAGGGAGTTTTGTTCTAGAACAGCGGTTCATGAAAACTGAAGTAGTGTAAGTGTTTCTTAAACTGCAGTTTTAACCGTAACCGTAGATAAAGCACCCGAGGGATCGATTCGGAGATTGCGAGATTTGTACGGAAATGTTTCAGCCATGAACCTTCGCAGATACTGAATAGAATTTGCGGCATACCGTGTGATCAATAGAGATGAAGCCTAGAAATCTTTTGTTATCAGAGCTGAGTTGCTTTATGCTTTCATGAAAACTAATAAGGAAGAGTTTTAATTTTAGGGCAAATATCATCCAGTTCCTCAGCGTTAGATTTCTTCACGGCTGACATTTGTCAAGCTTCCTGAATTTTAATTTGCAAGTCATTAGCGCAGTTTTCTAATTAATAGCAAAATGTACTTTCAGGCTTAGCTTGAAAGTTAAATAACTCTACATATTTGTTTGAAGGTTTATGTGATTACGACAAATCCTCGAGGGCTATCTGCCTAAGGAAAGGAATGGCTTCGTGGAGGACCATCTAAGGGTAACTGACTCCTATACACATTACACATGGAGAAAACCACGAAAAAGCTCATGCAGCCAACCCGTTCGGGGGGGATTCCAAACTCGAACCGAACTACCAGTGTTCAGCGACTTTACCGCTCGGCCATTGGTGGGTCCTGTTTGTTTAAAGGAGCAGATTCATTGATATGCTTATTAAAAACTTTTGGACCAAATTACAACTTCGGGAAGAATTTATTTCTGTGTCAACAGATTTTTCAATTAAGGAAATAGAATTCAAAGGTCTATTCTCTACATACATCATTGGATTGGATTGGATTGGATTATTCGATTATGGCAAAGCCTACGAGGACTATTTGTCTAAACGGAGGGATGCCTTCGTGGAGGACTTTCCAGGGAAACTGGGCTCGTATACCGTTACACAAGGAAAAAAAAACCACGAAAACACCCATGCAGTCAACCTGTTCGCGGGATTCGAACCTCGGACCGAACTACCAGTGTTCAGCGTCTTTACCGGTCGGCCGCTGGTGGGCTTCTACATAACATCAACCAGAATATATATGCTGTAGAGTCATTAGGCTTGTCAAAGGAGGAAACAGGAAAAATATACAATGCCTTCGCCGGATTTCTAACTTCCCGATCGGAATCCGGATATGTTTCTAATTACACTAGATAGGCTCGTACCGCCCAACTGGTATAGACTTTAGCGTCGCTGAGTGCCGTGCTGAAGGACCCGGACCCGAATAACGGACAAGTCACGGATGCTTATAAATGTAGTGTCCATGCGACATGGGGGCACTCTAAATATGCGGCGAGCCGAAAGTCATCTCGAGAGATTGTGGTAGGGAAAGAGGGGTGGGATATCCTCGGTCCCGTCTCCTTGTGGTGCTGTCCATCAAAATTGGGGGCGGAATACTGTCACCTGTGAAGTGCTCAAGGCTGTTACCAGCGACAGGTGTTGCGGTCCTCGACAGACGAATTTTGTGGGTTTAGGCTGACTATAGGTCAGACAAGTGAGCATTAGCAACAACAGAAAGGCTCGTATCAAGGAGGAAGAGAACACCTTCCATTCTTCTCCCACTTAAAGAAGGATTGGGAACGCCAATCGCCAATCGTTTCTCCAATCGCCAATCTTAGCGGTGACGATTATTGCTCCACCCAACTGCTGAGTCATTAGATTTGTCAATTTAGGTTTTTTTAAACCTAAAAACTTGAAACCTCCACTATGCCTTCGCCGGAATTCGAACCCCGGACCTCCCGACTGGTACCCGGACAGGCTTGTAACTACACCACGAAAACACGCCGTGAGGAAGTAGAAAATGCCTTATAATATCTGCGACCAATATTGTATGAAGCGTGTTGCAGGCTGGAGACATTACGTTATAAGAAAACTGGTTTAGAAATTTGTATTATTTGTTCTTTTGATGGCATATTTATGGAAACTATAATTCTTTTCCTTATTTTTCATTACAGGAGGAATTTTCTCTGCTGCCGACATCAAAGATGAAGAGATTTGTTTTCCTTTCTTGCTTTGCTGTAATGTGCACAGCCAGTTTTTTCGGCAGAACGACTTCCAAACCAGATGCCGTCAACTTGTGCATATTTTCTCTGAGTCCAGACGACTATGCTCCCAAGTGTTTCAACTGCTTAAATGCCGTGTATTCAAACGCTTTAAAAGCGTGTGTCAATGCCACCGAAATGCCTAGCAATATTTCGTATTCTAGTGCAAAATGCCTGGAGAGAAACTGTGCCATCAATTATCCCACACCATCCACTGTGGCTAGTGGAGACAAAACATCATTTCTTGAAAATCTGAAAAAGTTACTACGTATGGAACGAGATGTTGGGAATGGCGTAGAAGAGGACATAACAGAACAAAATATGTCGAATTATACGTTCAACTCTGATGTGAATATCATAGCCACTATCGAAACTTTTGCTTCAGACTTGTCGATTCTACTAGATTATGACTGATATATTAACCTAACAGACAATGAGTAAATTAGAAGAATTTATATAAAAGCATTTATCTTGATCATGCAATCGTAACTCGTTAAGTTTAATTCTGCATGCCAGTGCACATTTAATGACAGTAATGTTATAATATAGAATATTACGACGAGTTAACTAAACCTCGTTTTGCAATAAATGCAGTCTTTTTTCCTTCCGATGTTATTTGCAAAATGTATCAAAAAGAGACTCTTAGCAATGTACTGACGACTGTGACATCGGATACTATATTTAAAGTTATCATCATTTAAGAAATGTATAAAAAGAATGAACTGTTTGTTAGTTTTATGACTTGTCTTGTACTATTTCATGCAATTTTTTTTTTTTTTTTCTGTTAAGTAGATTTATGGGTACTTTTCCGTTTTGCCGGCGCAGGCGATGAAGTCGCCAATAATGGTACAACTGATGCCAAGCGGAATATACTCGCTGGTAACCTTTTAGGCCTCATTTTCAAAAGAAGTAGCAACCATTTCGGTTTAATCCTAGTATCCGGTGCACACAGGATTTGGCTACTTTTGGCGACTTTATGATGAGAAGTAAAAGCGGGACATATACGATGAGTAGGTAAGTCATTCAAAGAAAATATACAGTTAAACATAGTTATACTATGTATATAATACTATGTGTGCATATACATATATATGTGGTATAGAGAGTCTTTGGATCATTTTTGGTGTTGGCGTTAATTTTCAAAGTGGCCAGGCTGACGTTACTAGGATTTTACCGCCATTTCTTTCAGATTGATTTTCTTTCAATACTGGCATAGAAACATAGAATTTTTACCAGATAGTTCAATTTTATGCCCTAGGCCATCGAGGTAATTAATCATTAGGATGCAATCCACGCTCACCCGAAGGCGAAAATATAGAAAACGCAAGTCAAGAGCATCAATTTAATGAGAATGCATAGCGAAGTAAAGCACTGCGGTTGACATAATTTCTGAGTAAGCTATTCGTACGAATTGAAGTAATTCTTGCATTTAACTTGTATTCCAATTAAGATTAACTTGAATTCATGTAGATAATTACTGAGAAAATTAGATTTTTGTAGCGTAGTTTACGTGAGATGAGATCACTTGGGATCACGTGATAAGAATCGGCGGTTTAATCCTAGTGTCCGGTGCACACGGGATTTGGCTGCTTTTGGCGTCTTTATGATGAGCAGTAAAAACGGGACAAACGATGAGTAGTAAACGGGTCATTCAAAGAATATATATAGTTATATACAGTATATATTATGTATTTGGCTCTAGTGTAGAATTGGGTGCCCCTTCGATTAGCGACAATTTTTGTAAAATTTGGCGATGAAATCGTATTTCTGGTTACCATGATAGTGTAACTTGCCTTGCATCTGATTTTTTTAATAAAAATAGATTGATGTGTACAATGACAAATTTAAACAGTGCGCAATGCCTAGTTTGTGCAATTCTGGGATTCTTTTAAGTGAAAACAGATCGATGTGTACATGGACACACAGTTTATGCAATTCTTTGACTTTTAATTTTGGTTTTGTGTAGCGGCTATCTTGAAATTGTGTCTTCCTGACGTCGATCTTGCCGTCAAAAAAGAATCTCCAAAAAACAAGGGGCACCCAATTGTAAACTTTTACCATGTATTTACACACATAGTGTATAGTCAAAGAATCTTTGGTATAGTATATAGACGTTCTTTGGATCATTTTTGGTGTTGGCGATAATTTTCAAAATCGCGCCAAGGCTGCACCGTATACTAGGATTTTACCAAATCGGCGAATCAGGATGTTGAACCGTGAAAGCATGGTAAATTCTTAATGTCTTTTTACAAATTTATTGCCTTCATTTATTGAGTTTTTACAAAGATTTAAACGATATTAAAATGTTTATCCCTTCAAAATTAAAAATCCTTAGAACTAACATTTGTTAACGTTTTTTATGTGTATACTGTCTGTTTACGCCAATAAAGTCTGCTTGGTGAGATTTGCGCCGGCGAAATAGAAAAGTACCGATTTATGTGAGTGTTTGAAAAGGATTCTGATAGTTGTTCAATATTAAAATGAAGGTACCAGCATACGAGCTCGCTAAGAAACATCTAACAGAATGTAAATATCTAACCATTTTAAAACATCAGACATTATAGGTAATCAATCTACTTTTCGACTAAGAAATATTACTTTTGAATATTTCTGTCAGGAAATTTTATTATATTTCATTTTGTGAGTTTGCGAATATAAGAATCTGAAGTTAATTGTTATATTTAAATTCATTTGCTAAAATTTAATAATTAATAATTTTAAGTACTATGCTTTAGAACAAGTGTACATAAATATTAGTACAACCACCTTGGCGTAGTTTGGCGATTTTTTACAAAAGGAAAAAGATGATTTGGCAAGTTTTCGGATTACAACTTACAGATGATATGGTTACCTAAAATAATTTTATGTACATGGTTGCCAGAGTTTGACGACTTCTACTAAGGTGGTTGCAATAATAACTTAAGTACCACAGCAAGATACAACTTTTCCGAATGTAAGAAAAGTAACAAAATCCAGCATTTTAGATATTATCGTTAAAACACTGTAGGGGATGCAGCATTGAATTACGGCTTGATGGACTGTCTATTGCCCTTATTTGCGTTAATAATATTTTTTTTTTTTTGGAATCTTATGTGCAAAGAACTCGTGAAATATTGAGAAAAGCACTTTGAATAATATTACATGTATATCTTACAAACATATAGCGCATGTATTTTTGCAAATAAAATGCTTGTTATTGAAACCAATGTAATTGCACTTTATCCAATCGACAATACATGTTTTTAGTAGTTTTGATATTACCGATTATTTTTCCTAATCACATTTTAACATTTGAAAAAAAATAATAAACCCAGATTGCTAATCTTTGGAATATGGTAACAGGAAGTTTGGCGACATTTTGGTAAGGCGATAAAGGTTACTAGCTAGGACTTTAGCAGTGTACACGGATAAAGTCAAGATTGTGCGCAATGCCATTTTTGTGCAATTCTGGGATCGTTTTTTAAGTGAAAATAGGTCGACGTGTACATGGATGAAACCGTGTATGTGCAATTCTTAAAAATGCCGCAAGCAGTGGACGATTCTGCACGTTCTCCCTATTTCGCACCTAATCTTCGTCATGATTAAGCACTTTTGTTCCATAAAAGTTCTAGCATAAGCGTAATTCGGCTAGCAGATTGTTGGAAAAAAATGTTGAGTAAAAAAAAAAAAAAAAAATGCCTTCGTGAAAACAAAATGGCGTCCAAAAAAAAAACTAGCAGGTGGCTGTAGCAGGGTTGGTCGCCAAAAAATCGCCAAGTTAAGATTAACCAACCAGACTTAAAGACCTTATTGAACTACTTTAATCTATCTTTTTTTCATGCATGGGAATGCATTATGAAAAAAGATGCAAGAGCAAAACAGATAATTTCTTTGCAGTTTTTATTAAATTAACATTATCTAAAAAAAATCTTAATCTCTTACTCGTAAATAAAAGCAGCTAGTTCTTCAACTTTAAAATTATCCTAAAGTCCCAATTTGGCGAAAACCACTAAGGAGGTTCGTTGACTGACTTCAGGTTGTATTTTATTATTACCGACTTCTTAGTTAATTTTTTACACTTTTTCCAAACTTTTCTTGCCAAACGTTTTTTCCAAACTTTTGGTTTTTATACTTTTTCCTGCTCCCCGAATTTTTTCGATTAATCACACTATATGAATCTCTACTAAATACTTCAACATTTAGAGGCATATAGAGGTAACATTTAGAAACATTACTTTTTTCGCTGTCAAAATAGCTCCGTAAGCAAAAATTGTAAATTTGAATTGTAGAAATAAAAACATACCATAAATAAATTTGATATTTCTTTGTTACAGTGGATCCTTACCCTATTTGCAGATTTTAGATTTGCGCCAAGATCCTGAAGCGCTAATGTAAAATAAACAACACAACATACAACATAACTAATAATAAAGAAATGATACTTACATGTCCTTTCCTAAGAAGATTTTCAAGAATCTGTATCATTATTATATTATCCCATGTATACTAATTGTTCCACTCAACTGCTGCACTTTCACACATATTAAGCTGTTTGTTAAACCATTTCATAGACGTCAGCTCCTCTTCCCAAGAATACATAAATCTAATATTAGTAACGATACTCTGGAAGGGCAGAACCAATTTTGAACACGGAAGCCCTTCTTCTTTCTGCAGTTTTTAACATCACACCTCCAAATGGTTTCGTCGTTAACATAAACCTTCACACTGTAGCCATTTTCGCATACTCGTATACCAGGTAACTCATTAATTGGTAAAATAAAAATTGCCAAAGTTATATTCACACACAAAAAAAGCAATGAATATATTTTTAAATAAACAACACGAATTCGAAAAATCTCACCAAAAATGAATACTACAAGATTACGTGGCGAGGACCAAGAACATGCAGCTGGTGCAAGTATACGATTGCGTAGGGAGCTATCAGAACACGCAGGTAGATTTTGGCGAGATATCGCTCAATTGGCAATTCAATCAATGATTTGCAATTCAATTTCCAGGCCAACTGTAGCAAAGAGGTACTATACATTTTTTCAGTTTTGATATACACAATAAATATTCTCATTCGTGGTTTTCAATTACGATAATGCCAAAAGAGATTCTATGTAGGTTGGAGTTAATCAGTACATAAATGAGAATTCAATGATTTTATAACAAGTAAACCTTGATTTTAGAGGTATCAAATTAAAGGAAGAAACGCTTGTATCTTAAAGCAAGTAAGGGTTTAATCCTAGTATTCGGTGCACATGGGATTTGGCTACTTTTATGATGAGCAGTAAAAACGGGGCATATAAGATGAGTAGTAAACAGGTCATTCAAAGAATATATATAGTTAAATATAGTATATATTATGTATATACACACATAGTATATAGTGTACACACATAGTATATGTGTATAGATTAGAGTTTTTGATCATTTTTGGTGTTGGCGATAATTTTCAAAATCGCGCCAAGGCTGCACCGTATACTAGAATTTTACCCAAGTAAGTTAATAAGTACGTATCTAACACATGTTACTTATTAAAAACCAAGGTTTTGAACATGCATCCAGTTGCACACATAAAAAAATTTTCTAACTGCACTTTTGTCCGTTAGAAAATTTTTTTATTTCCGTTAGAAATTTTTTTTATTTTTAAAGTGCTAAATCTTTAAACATTTTCTTTTTAGTTGAAGTGAACCTACTTAAAACATTCGACGAAATTTTATGATTTCCTTTCAAATTTTCTAAATAAGGAAAAC